CTCTGACGTTGCCTGGCCTGCTGTGTTCCTCCAGCTCCACACTGTACTGATACACAATACATCCTATCACTGAACTAGGTTGAGTGGAATTACAAAACGTTTAGAATGAGATGGTCGTACAGAAATGTAATCACAAACAATACTCACTGAGAAGATCAGGGGATCCTCCAGCCAACAACTGGTAGAAGATATGAAAATTCCTTTCTCCTTTCAGACGTTTGACAACACGAGATTTCTCTAGAAGATCTGAAACGACATCCAAACCATCAGAACTCAAAGTAAATCCGTACTAAATCCATGTTTGCTTTTCTCCCCTTTTCTGTCAGGTTTCCACCAGGACAAAAAGTTCAAACTCATGAGAAAAAATGAGAACAAATAGCGTTGTGTTGCAACACTAAATGATAAAGGTCACTGGACAGGTTAGGATGAGGGATGCAGTTCAGTTTCATTTTAGTTCATCTGACCAGAAAGACACAGTGTTTTGCATTAACCTTTTCTCCATCTAGAAGTCTGATCTCAGTTGCTTCCTTTCAAGTCTAAGGAGGTTCCCCAAGTCTTCCTTCATTGCTTAATCTTCTTAACACTGGAAGCAGCTTTTCACAGCCTTCAGTATTTTACAATTCACTTATTTAATTTCCTAGATATTTCCCCTTTCCTTAGATAAGGGGATAAAACTCTTCACAGTATTCTAGGCGTGGTCTGACTACTGTCTTGTCTAGTTTTAGCAAAATTTCCTGACTTTAAAATAAAGGCCAATATTCCGTTTGCTTTACCTGTTACCTGCTAAACTTGTGTGTTAGTTTTGTTATGATTTATGCATGCAGATTCCCAAATCCCTCTGTGCTGTAGCTTTCTGCAGTCTTTCTCCATTTAAATAATATTCAGCTCCTCTATTCTTCCGGCCAAAGTGCATAACCTCACATTTCCCTACATTATATTCCATCTGCCATTTTTTTTGCCCACTTGCTTAACCTGTCTATATTCCTCTGCAGACTCTTTCGTCATCCTCACTACTTACCTTCCCATCTATTTCTGTGTCACCTGCAAACTTGGTTATTGTACATTCACTTCCTACATCCAAGTCATTAATATATATTGCAAATAATTGTAGCTCCAGCACTAATCCCTGTGGCACCCCACTAGTTGCCATCTTGAAAAGCTCTCCTTATTCCAACTCTTTGTGTTCTATCAGTTATCCAATTCTTTATCCATGCTGATATATTACCCCCAACACCATGCACTCTTTTCTTACGAAGTAGCCTGACATGTGGTACCTTATCAAATGCCTTCTGAAAATCCAAATATATTAATTCTGTTGGTTCCCCTTTATCTATCCTGCTTGTTACCTTGTCAAAAAAGAACTCTAATACATTTGTCAGATATGCTTTCCCCTCCATGAAACCATGCTGACTCTCCTTGATCACGTTATATATCTCTAAATGCTCTGCTATTACAATAGAATGTAACATGTTTGCAATGACAGATGATAAACTAACTGCCCTATAGTTATCTTTTTTATGTCACCTTCTCTTTCTTGAATGAAAGTGTTACATTAGCAGTTTTGCAATCCTCTGGGACCTTTCCAGACCCTAAGTATTCTTGGAATATTACTATCAGTGTATCTATTATCTCCATAGCTACTTCAATATCCTAGGATGTAACCCATCAGGTATAGAAGACATATCAACCTTCAGTCCCCTTATATCTCCTAGTACCTTTCCGTCCAGTGACAGTTATTGGTTATGTTTCTCTCCTCATTTTTTGCCCCTTGATTATTTTGTAATTTTTGAATGTTGTTAGTGTATTCCACTGTGAAGACTAATGCAAAGTATTTGTTCAACTCCTCTGCCATTTCCTAGTTCCCCATTATTATTTCCCAACCTCATTCATTTTGCCCTCTCTCTTCCTTTTTATATACTTAAAGAAGCTCTTGCTGTCTACTTTACCCTCAAAAGTTACTTTCTCCGGTTTTTTGTTCATATATTGTTGATTTTTAAAACATTCCCAATCCTCTGGGTTACCGCTAATCCTTGCCACATTGTAAAGTTTTTTCTTTCAATTTGAATCTATCCTTAGCTTTCTTGATTAACTATGGTTGGTTTATCCCCTTCCTAGAATCCCTTTTCTTCACTGGCATGTATCTTTCTTATGAGTCCTGAACCATTTTCTCAAACATCTCTATTACTCCTTAACCATCTTTTCTGCTAAGCTCCTCTCACAGTCCACTCCAGCTAACTCTGCCTTCATTCCTTTGTAATTACCCTTATTTAGGTTCAATTGTTTCCAACCCAAGTTTCTCACTCTCAAGCCGAATGCTAATTTTCACTAGGTTATGATCAATGTTTCCCAGGAGATCTTTACTCGGACATCATTTATTAAACTTACCTCATTACAGATCACCAAATCCAAGATAGCCTGATCCCTGGTTGTAACAACATATTGTTCTTGGAAACTCTTGAATATACTCTATGAATTCTTCCTCGTGGCTACCTCTGCTAATTTGATTTTCCCAATCTACCAATTCCCAAATTGAAGATTAAAGTCACCCATGATTATTGTACTGCCTTTTTACATTCTTCATTATCTCCTGATTTACTCTCTATTGTACAGTGTAGCTCCTGTTAAGGGTCTATAGACTACTCCGACCAGTGTCTTCTTTCCTTTGTTATTTCTTACTTCTACCTATTATAAATTCTACATCCACTAATCCAAGATCAAGACCCACACTCAGTCTGAGCAGTTGCTGGAATGAAACCACCTCTTTAACTGCATTCAAATACACAGAGAAACCTAGGGTAGATTTTCATCTTACCAAGTTTTAACAAATACAAAATCATGAGCAGCTTGTACCCAATTTTGCAATGAAGGCATTTAGCTCACCAAGGGATAAATACTGGCCCCAGGACACCATGGAGAACAGCTCTGTTCTTCTCCCAGTGATAGCCACAGGATCTTTTACACTCATCATACACAGGGGAACAGACAGAACCTGGGTTTATACACCCTGGCATTGAAGAGGAAAGTTCATGCCTACAGAAATTTATAAAATTGATGCAGAAAATCATGTGTGTCATTGTTGGATTAGCTGCATTTGCTGCTGTGGGCACTGGATCACAGCTTTACTGGATTTATTTTTGATAAAGCAATTGGCAGACAACCCAACATTCTTGCCATTACTCCCATTACTGCCTGCATTGACTCTGCAGCTGTTTTAAATGCCTGCCAGCCTTGTGTTATCTGCTGTCATTTGCACATTTATGAATCTTTAATGGGCATGAGGAATAGATTTGTGATAGTTTGCCTCCTGCTTCACTGAGGTTTTCTTAAAAGCAAAGTGGTCAATAGAGTAGAAGACAATGAGGAGTTATTTCAAAGATTTTACGTCAATAAAAACAGACTGTACCAAATCCTTAGTCCACTGTTTGCTGCATGTAAGTTGGCTGCTGCATTTCCTACAACAGTGACTATACTTTCAAAGTGCTTCAAATCCACATTTCAGAAACTTCAATCCTGATAACCAAAGAAAGTCAACTTAATGCTGAATGATGGTACAAATTCATATAAAGGAAGGCTGTATTCACACAATCCAGGTGCCCAACCTATGTTTGTGATGCAGAACCACAACACGCCAGACATTGTCTTTGGGAACACAGGGAAACACAGTGAGAGTGGCTCAAATTGTGGGAATTGATTGGAAAGTCCTTTCTACCAATTTTATCTTAATTGGCAACTCTTAAAATACACACACACAAACACATATATTTATGTATACACTTTCCGAGTCAGCACATTCCTAATAGGCTACAACCGTGGACAGCTTTAAGTTCTGATTGCTGTTGCTGACTTGTATTTATTATCTTTCAAAGTCCACCAATAATCATTAACATAAATTGCCCTTGGACTTTGAAATAAGCAAAGATTGTTTTACAAGTATTACATTTCTCACTTGCCCCAGTTCCGATGAAAGGTCATCAAGCTGAAATGTTAGCTCTTTTCCTCTCACTGCAGATGCTGCCAATTTCTCCAGCAGTTTTTGCCTTTATTTCAGATTTCCAACATCCACAGCATTTTGCTTTTATGCCAGGAGTGGTTCCACTTGGTATAAACTTGAGAAAAATCTTAACGATCAAACTAGAACATTACCTTTACTTATCACCCCACAGATCTTTATTTCCATATAGACTGAGGGGCAGAATTATTTCATGGAAGGTAAGTGCTGAGTCTGTCAATGCCTCATAGTCACTTTCAGATTCACCCTTGGGTATTTCAACACCATTGATCATATATGTAAGCCATCCGATTTTTCTCAATACATTTGTTGACGTTGAATTTCATGTGATACTGGTCAACACTCCTATAAATCTCATCTTAATTCATTTTGTATTGCCTTGGAACCCACCCCACCCCTGGTTTGATATGATCTGCGAATATGCATTGGATCCTTGGGACACGTCACTCAGCACTTGCCCCTAAAGAATATCTGCTGTTTCCTATCCTTCAGCCCATTAAAACTTACATGCAGAATCTTGTCACAAGCTTTTTGGATGTCATATTACAAAGTTTTGAACTGTCCACTTGGGGGGTTAGAGCAATAATTAAAAACAAAGCAACTCAGGTTGGTTAGGCAGAATCATCCTCATTTGAAGCCTCTTGGCAATTATTCATGAGGTTCTTTTCAAGTCCACTAATTTTCCTTCTGTTTTCATGGTTATTTAAACACATTCATGGATAGCAATTGCTTGCCCAAAATTTGTAATCTGACAACCGATCACATGTCGCCCAAAAATAGCAGCAGGAATGTGAGCCTCTGTGTAAACGGAGAGGTTTACTGTAAAAGGTGGCTATGTTGGCAGTATGCCCACTGTTCGCTGCTCTTCTGATTCTGGACCCGCTCTTCTCCAGAGTAGGATCAAAATCCACCGCAGCAGCAGAGCAAGGTTAGATTCCTGGAACAGCAGCCACCTGGGGGTTCCTTTACAGTTAGGCTCACAATTCTCAGTCCATATAGAAGATTTTTGTTCTTGCTCCTGCGAGACTGGCATGATTTTGCTGCCAAATTTCAAGCCCCTGCTCTGTGAAAATCACTAATCAGATATTTATTTGCCACAACTTGCTGCCGTTGCTAATCCTGCCGGCTGTTTGCTGCTGACCATTTGAAACTGACCATCTGCGACCAGCTGTTTGCTGCTGCCTTTTTGAAACTGACCATTTGCAGCTGACTGTTTGCGACTGATCATTTGTTACCAGCTGTTTGCCGCTGGCTTTTTGCTGACTGCTTGCAACTGCCCATTTGCGACGAGCTGTTTGCTTCTGGACTTTTGCTGATCATTTGCTGCTGAGTGTTTGCTGTAATCTGGTTACTGCTGACCATTTGCTGCTGAGTGTTTGCCTTTGCCAGCTGATTCCTGCTGTGGACAGTCGATGCTGTTTTTTTCCTGTTATTTGCTGATTGTTATCAGCCAACTGGACTAAATCTTGCTTCTGTTTTCCATTGTTGTGATTTCCTCATCTCGCGCTGTGAGGACTGTAAATATATTATCAAAATAAAAATATGCTTTTTAAGCTGATTCTAGTCCATGGTCCTTGGGGCATTTTCCTGGTTTTGTTTTTTGGCATCACGCTGCCAAACAAACCTATTAAAGACCATAAGCATCGCCTAAAAAAGCTGTGCATTTGAAACTGTACAACACATAGGGTAGCATCTGGAATGTAAACACAAAACAGCAGTAAAAATACCAGGAATCCATGACTTGAAAACAGAATTTGACTTCGTCTCATTGAAACAGTGATTCTCGATTTTATCAAAAGGTATTTCCTCAAAATGTACCTTCTTATCACCAACTCAGTTTTGACCTAGTATTGATGGAAGACCTATAGCTGCATGATTATCTAAATTGGATTTGTCAAGATTTTGGGCAATGGTTATCAAACTGAAAGGCTGTGACAGTAAGGTCGGCACATAAGCATCACTGAGATGGAAGGTTCACTTGCACACAGTCTAAGGATTAGGTTATATGGGGACCACAACTTCCTGTCTGCAGCCAGGAAAGGGGCTTCCCTCCTTGAATGTGCAAAGGATCTAAAGCCTGAACGCTAAACACTTCTTTATATATCTTTGTCAACATGGTGGGCCATGCACTTTCAATGTGGAATATCTATGTCCCTGCTGCCTTCCATATTGGACATTTTGGCACCTGTTTTAAGCCTGGAAGACAGGCACAGTAAATGAATTATTAGAACTTAGTATCAAAGCGCCTGAAACTGATCACCTAACTTTCTATTGAAATTGATCATTCACATTGATTGTCCATAACGATTGGATATTGGACAGTAACAAAAAAAGAGAATGTTATCAGTTAACCTGATCTCTATCTTAACAGTCTGTCAGTTTGTCAAGGTTTGTAGTTATTACAATAGCACAGTAACTGCATGCTGCCCAACTCCATTAGCATTTGGAAAGAGTCTAACAGGTACCATTCACAATGTCAGTAGCATATAGGGCATTCAGGGGCAAGGACTGCAACCTTTCCTCCTAACATTTTAAGTCTTCAATTTGACTCTATCTTGCTGTGCCATAGCATCTACTGAATAGGTAGCACTCTGCCACCAACTGAGGCACAGAGTCTTTCTCTGAGAGCCATAGGTCTCCAGTCTCAAATGTTGGAAGAGCGAGCCCTGACCTTTGGGAATGCAGGCCGCAATCTCCCAGCGAGGTCAACATTGACCTGTCAGGAGGCCGGTACATTACATCTCATTTCACTCAAAGGATTAGCCTCTAACCTTATGCTGAGTCCCTTTGAAACAGAGGAAGTGGGAGCTTCCATCATAAGGAGTCCCCATGTTTGGCCCAGTCCAACAACCCCACCCCCCAACCTCCCTCAGGGTTGACCTTGTATGGAATTGGTAGAGGCATTTGTCTCCAAACAAAACGACAATACATTCTAATGCAAATCTAACTCCTGGCCCAGTTTGTGGCCCTTTTGTTGGAGTCAGAGCAGGAGTGTGCCAGAACGGCCAAAATTAACAATGTAGAAAACACAAAAGAATGATACACTTCCATTAAAAACCTCACAATAAACGTCACTACTTAATGTTTTCCACATGCAGACCTGTCCTTCTGACTGTTGAGTTCACGTCAGTCTTGATGAAGAGATACTCTGGGTTAATTTTGTGTGCTAGAGTGTGAGAGGGAGGTGCATTTTTGTAACTGTAGCTTTCACAGTGCTCTGTGAACTGTCAATCCCCAGAGTACACCATAACTAATATGACAATAATAGACTAATGTAGCATTTTTAGAAAGACAGATCAAAATTAAACAACTCCAATATTTAAACATTTGATCTCTTGAAGCCATCAATTGCAAATCCTGAGCTGAAGGTAGGTTTGGCATTTCACTAGCTGACAGGTAGTCAGACAACTCAGCACCATGGAGAGATAAAACTGGGAGATCCAGAAGCTGACTCCATGCCAAGGGGTAATGTCACTGAAGAGTAAGATATAAATGAAGAATAGTAGGGGCCAAGGACAAAATTTTAAGGTATGTTAGAAGTGACTACGTTGGTGGGAGGAACAATCGTTCCACGTGATGTGCTGGCCTTGTAGGGAAAGGTAAGAATCAAACCATGAAAGGGTGGTGTGAGATGGACTGTGAGGAGAAGTGATGGAAGAATGCTGCAGAAAAGGCAAGGAGGGATAATATGCCATAGTTACAGTCACACAGGATATGGGGGAGTGACAAGAGTGAGTTGTTGGCAGGACACAAACCAAACTGAAGCATTTCAAAACTGAGAGTGGTGAGAGAGATGGCTGCAATGATGGATGAGCTTGAAGAAGAAGGTATGGTTTGGGTAAGCATTCAGGGGTCCAAGATAGGCTTTTAAAGGAGAGGGGAGTAAACAGCAACAATTTGGAAGGTGTTGAGGGAATGTGTTCCGAGGTTTATCAAGTTGAGTCTGAGGAGGACTAGTAGGAACGGGGGAGATGATGAGAAACTGGGGCTCAGCTGAAAATGTGCCAAAACTTATGACATCTACTTCCTTAACCTTGTAGATATCACTAACATCTGGGCTAAACCATCGCCTCTCCTGTCTGCTCTATTGTTCCTCAACACTGTGCATGTTCTGGTTTTGGTATGCAATTGAACACTCTGCCTTTTATGTATAGGTCTCTTTTACAAGTTGCTAGTGAAGATGATGTCTCAAAGTATTCATGTTATGGAATAAGAAGATGCAGACCCAATATCTGCTCTGGACTTTGCATGAGCTTGGATGAATGGGAAGACACCTTATTTAGGAGGAGATGAATCAGACAAGACACATTCTCTACCCTACGCCTCCAACCCAAAGGATCACAAGTCTGATGATTAACAGATATCAGCAGGTTAAATCTGCGAGAACTGAGGAGGGGGGCTAACTCTGCCTCTGGTTTCCTTTAGTATTACCAAGGACAATACTTACAGTTACTGATGACACCACCCAATGGATCGCCCTTGAAATCAAACTCAATATCCATGTATTTTCCCTGAACAGAGAAATGTGGAAACTCAGTTTATCAGAAACACAAATGCAGAAAATGTTAGCTTTATTGCTATCCATAAAAGTGCCAAAGCAGACCCACCCCATTATAAAAAAAAATTCCTCTTTCATTCTTCCTGCTTCATATCCTTTCCCCTCCAATACTGGGTGGCAGGGTGAGCTGTGAGGAGGATGCAGACATGCTTCAGTGTGATTTGAACAAGTTGAGTATGGCGGGAAAAATGAATGGCAGATGCAGTTTAATGTGGATAAACGTGAAGTGATCCACTTTGGGAGCAAAAACAGGAAGGCAGATCATTGTCTGAATGGCAACAGATTGGGAGAAGGGGAGGTGCAACGAGACCTGGGTGTCCCTCGTAAACCAGCCGCTGAAAGTCAGCATTGCAGGAGCAGCAGGAGGTGAAGAGGGTAAATGGTATGTTGGCTGTCATAACGATGAGATTTGAGTACAGGAGTGGGGACGTCTTGCTGTAATTGTACAGCTGCTCCTATTTCCTACGTTTCTATGTTTACTCCTGGGAGAGCCCCTTAAGAATCTTTTATGTTTCAATGAGATTACCTCTCATTCTTCTAAACTCTAGCAGGTAGAGTCCCAACCTGTTTAGCGTTTGCCCATAAGACAATCCTCCATCCTGAGGATCATCCTAGTGAACCTTCTCTAAACTGCCTCCAATAAAACGATATCTTTCCTTAAATAAGGGGAGTGAAACTGTTCACACTACTCCAAATGTGGTCTCACCCTCTTCTCTTCCTGTGGAGAACACGTCTCATCTCCATTCATTCCCCATCATGGTATGCCTCAGATAGTGAAGGCAGTCAGGACATTCCATCCTGTTGCTCTATGCTGCCAGGGGCTAGGGTCTAACAGGTGTAAATCACATACTTGCTCCATAATATGGGCAACAAAATGTGAGGTTCTCTGTGAAATGAGGTTTTTTAAAATTTTCTCAACCGATTCACTACACCCAAAAATCCATCGCCAACTGCAATTGTTAGCTAATAGCCCGTGATAATACATACAAATCTAGAAGAGTTGTCATTCCGCAGAGTCTTGGCATTGCCGAATGCTGTCAAAGGAAGAAGTAGTAAAATAGTGAGGTGTGGCTCCGTGGGAAATGATCAGCAGTAAATACTGAAATAGACACCATGTGGAGTTTGAGTCTCTGGCACCTTCTGGCTGCCAACTTCAAGGGGCATCAGTAGCATTTTTGGCTGAACGTGATTTAAGTTTGTGGTATTTCTCGATTCCTTTAGAACTAGAGCTCAGCAGTGCGTGTGGATGTCAGGCAAAGGCAGGACTGGACTCACAATCAAGCCCTCTGTCATACGATAGTCTGCCAACACTCAGTATCAAAGCTTACATATAAAGAATGGAATGAGGTGGTGGTACTGGAAGGAGATCAAAGTCCACGGAATCCAAATCTCAGAGAGACTTATTGATGTGGAGGTGCCGATGTTGGACTGGGTCACTTCACCTGATGAAGGGGCTGCGCTTTGAAAGCTTGTGATTTGAAATAAACCTGTTGGACTATAACCTGGGGTTGTGTGATTTCTTACTCCGTGAGACTCAGTATCTTCAGGGAAGAATGTGAAAAGAAAACACTCAATGAAGGGCAGGTACAACTGGATACACCATACCTTCCAGGACAGGATTTGACTGCAAAAGCTGCTCCTTGACTTGATTAACCTCTTCTCCTTTGCCACATACTGCGGCAATATAGGACATCACAAGTTTACTGGCCTCTGAAAGAAAGAAGAAGAGTCTGTAATTCACACTTAGCATTCTCTTCGACCTTTTCTGACTTGCAGTTCCACACGTGCTGCCACAGCACCTTCTTCAGCGGTGGCTGTAAAAAGGGTGACAACTCTGGTTTCCCTAGCACACCCTTGACATTGTCTCTACCCAAAAGGATTTACCTGGGCTCCTGGTATGGAGACTTTAAAGTGTATGAGTTATTCCTTCAAGCAGATAACTCCGTCTGGGGAAGAAGCATAGAGACTGCTAGACTACCCAATGCCTCCATTGTACTGTTAACACCAGCATTAGAGAGTCTGCTACATTAAAATAAAAGCCCCATGTAACATGTTCCGAAGAAGGGTCACTGGACCTGAAACATTAACTCTGCTTTCTCTCCACAGATGCTGCCAGACCTGCTGAGTTTTTCCAGCAATTTCTGATTTCCAGCATCCGCAGTTCTTTGGTTTTGGTTTTGGTCTTGGTCTTGTTGGTTTGAGGGAAACATATTGGCAAGGACACTGGGGAGAGGTCTCCTTTGTTGCACCAATATTGCTGTGGCAGCTTGAGAGGCTGTTCACAGCCTCAGTTTAAGAGTCTTGTCCAAAAGACATGAGAAGAGACTTCCCAGAACACCGCCTGCACAGAACAAGAACAGGTGAACGTTTCATTCAGACCCTTCAGCTTTAAAGCAACATTAACTCATTGTTCCTCTTCCAGATGCTGACTGACAGGTTATGCATTTTCAGCACACTCTGGTGCGATTTCAGAATTCCAGCATGACACGGTGGCTCAGTGATTAGCACTGTTACCTTAGAGCACCACGGACCTGGGTTTGACTTCAGCCTTGGGCGACTGTCTGTGTGGAGTTTGCATGTTGTCTGTGCGGATTTCCTCCAGGTTCCTCCCGCAGTCCAAAGATGTGCAGGTTAGCTGCAATTGGCCATGCTATGTTGCCCATAGTGTCCTGGGATAGGCAGGCTAGGTTGATTAGCCATGGGAATGCAGGGTTACAGGGATAGGGTGGGATGCTCTTCAGAGGGTCAGAGTGGACTTGATGGGCCAAATGGCCTGCTTCCACACTGTAGGGATTCTATGATGATCTAATTAACATTACACCAATTTTGCAGCTTAATGACGTCAGTGTAAAATCAGCATTGCACTTGCCATAACCAACAAAGATTTCACGACTAGATTTGCAGTAATTTACAACTTTTAGCTGCTTATCAACTCTAAACAGGAAAGTATTAAATACTTCCAGAAAGAAAAAGTCACATCCGTTCTCAGTTTCTAAATGCACAAAACATCCAATCTTTGCAAGTAACCTTGACAGTTATGCATTAAACAACTTTACATGGTAATTTAGCAGAGGCATTGCTGATTATCACCTAGCAACGAGGTAACTGGTCCTGCTTATCTCCCTGTCTAAATCTCAAGTGCAGGGTTTCAATCACACCCACACGTTGCATCATTTTACATCCTTTTATAATTCAGTGGGTCTAGGGACAGTGTTCTAAGAGGGTCACTGTTCAGAACTGAATTTCTCAATGGGGTCGCCAGTCACCCTGTAAAAGTGGAAATGTCTGCAGAGAGTGGTTCAGACCTCATGAACTGGTTATACAGGCAGCGAACTGTATATGACCAGAGTGGACAAACAGCTCCACCCCAAATTTCCATCGCTCTGCCATTGGTGGCCAATGGATACCTGGATCCCAAGCTCTCGAATAATCTCTCCAAACTGATACAATTCCCTTAAATCCTACTAAGCTTTTATTTACCTGTCCTAACAACTCTTTATTTGATTAAGTGTCAAATTTTGATTGATACTACTCCTTTAAAATACCCTGGAATGTTTTGTGTGATATTAAAGGTAGTATATAAATGCAAGTTGTGTTGGCTTTTGTGGCACAGCGGTAGTGTGTAAGAGGCCTGGGTTCACATACCACCTGCTACATAAGTATGTAATAACATCTCTGAAGACCTTAAGACCATTGGAAATAGGATCAGGAGTGGGCCATTCAGCCCCTCGAGCCTGCTCCCTCATTCAGTAGGATCATGGCTGATCCAACATTCCTCACGTCCACTTTCCCGCCCTTTCCCTGGATTCCCCGACTGATCAAGAATCTATCCCGGCATTCAATATACACAACGACTCTGCCCCTACTGCCCTCTGCAACAAAAAGTTCCAAAGACTCTCAAACATCTGAGAGAAGAAATTCCTCCTTATCTCAGTCTTAAATAAGCACCCGTTTATTCTGAGGCTGTGCCCTCTGGTCCTAGACTCTCCCATGAGGGGGAAACACCCTCTCAGCATTGACCCTGTAAAGCCCTTTAAGAATCCTCTATGTTTCAATAAGATCACCTCTCACTCTTCTAAACTCCAGTGATCTGTTTAGCTTTTGCTCATCCAATAATCTCTCCAAATCAGGGATCATCGCAGTGAACCTTCCAAACAGGCTGGCTAGCAAAGAATCTCTAATTGCAAGTTTGTTTTATTTATATTATATCCCACAATTTATTAAATTGCCTGTGGCTCTTACAAGTTGGACAGAGATAAGTTTTGTTGGAAGTGCCCCAGGATACCTTACCTGTCTTTCCCGATCCACTCTCGCCAGTGATGAGAACACATTGGTCCTTGTCCTTATCTCGGAGTGATCTGTATGCTTCGTCTGCAATGGCATAGCTGTAGGGAGAAGTGAGATCATTGTTTTGTTCATTGTATTTCTACACGCTTCCCCCATTCTGATCTGTGGCTTCACATTTCTTTAAGGAGTGTGTCACCTCAAGGAACCCACAGAAAAGCCATTGGCTTAAAAAGAACATGTATTGACAAATAGTGACCCTTGTGCAGCAGGGTTTTTTAACTGCAGTTATTTTTAACCCTTACTCCAGTTTTCTTTCCTCTTATCCTCAATAAATGTTAGCAGATCATTCAGCCATAGAGGTGCTTGTTTACCTGAACTCCATAGACATACAATTCAGGAATCATTATAGGAATTTTTCCTCCCTATTGCCTAAGGCACTGAGGGTCAGTGCAGCATAACTAGTGACCCTACTCCAAACCACTGAGATCAGTTCATAGAATCATAGAATCCCTACAGTGTGGAAGCAGGCCATTCAGCCCATCAAGTCCACACTGACCCTCAGAGGAGCATCCCACCCAGACCCAACCCCCTACCCTATCCCTGTAACCCTGCATTTCCCATGGCTAATCTACCAAGCCATCTTTGGACATTATGGGCAATTTAGCATGGTCAATCCATAGTAGCTATCCATCCACAAATGTTCATTCAACTCCTTCAACCTCCTGGACTTGTAGACATTTACAGCAGAGGAGGAGGCCATTTGGCCCATTATGTTCATACTGGTCAACAAAGAACTGATAACACTAATCCCATTTTTCAGCTCTTGGTCCATAGCTCTGGAGGCTATGGCAATGCAAGTGAAAACTGAAATATTGCTTAAATGTTACGAGGGTTTCTGACCCTATCCTCCTTTCAGGAAGTGCGCTACACATACACACACACACAAACTTCTGAGTGAAAATATTTCTCCTTAAATCTCCACTTAGCCTTCAACCTTACCTGACCTTAAGTCCATACCCTCTGGTTATTGACCTCTCTGCAAATGGTAAAGATGCCTTCCTATCCACCCGATCTATGCCTCCCATAATCTGATACCTCATATCATACTTCTGTAATCTCCTCCAGTTCCTACACCAATCCCTATGACTGTAATCCTCTCCAGCCCATACACCTCTCCCTATGTCACCTCCTCCAGCCCCGATACCCCTCCCTGTCTCTGTAATCTCTTCCAGTCCCTACCCTCTCCCTTTCTCTGTAATCTCCTCCAGCCCCTACCCCCCTTCCTATCTCTGTCTTCTCTTCCAGCCTCTTACACTCCTCCCTATCTCTGTAATCTCCTCCAGCCCTTATCCATCTCTGTAATCACTCTCAGTCCTTACCCTCTATCTCTGTCACCTCCTCCAGCCCCTACACCCCTCCCCATCTCTGTCACGTCCTCCAGCCCCTTCCTATCTCTGTCACCTCCTCCAGCCCCTACAGCCCCTCCCTATCTCTGTCACCTCTTCCAGCCCCTACACCCCCTCCCTATATCTGTCACCTTCTCCAGTCCCTACCCATCTCTGTACTCACTCCCAGTGCTTACCCGCTATATCTATCCCCTCCTCCAACACCCCTACACCCCTCCCTATCTCCATCACTTCCTCCATGCCCTACACCTCTAGTAAGTCCTCTCTAAACCTTTGTTGCTCCACAGAACGCACCCCCCCCCCACCCACCCTATCCCAACTTTCCTCAGAGCTTAGAACCTCCTGCCCAGGGGCAGCATCCTAGTAATTTTGAATAGGTGCACTGTTTCCTGACTTCACTCCTGTCATCAACAGCACTGTTTTTAGGCAAAAACAAAATTCCAAACCATGATCAGTTTGAGAATAGAAGCTTCATTTTAGCATTTTGATTTTTTCCCATTGGGAGATGCCACATGAGCAGTGTTATACCAGCTCTCATGTTCATCAGAGAGCAATCTATGCCTCCTATCTCAGCAAGCACCTCATCCCTGCTTGTTTGGGTCAAATTGAGGTCCCATAGGTGGGAGTAGCACAGTTTGGTGACGTCATTGGAGAAAATATAAAATTTAGGGAGATCCAGGGCAGGAGAAATACAAGGATGAATGCACACTGCTGTCATTAGCAACCTGCTTACAACTGAAGTGGTTGTTCATTTGAGATGATCAGAAATAGGATCAGGGTGTTGACCAAATGTTGATTATACATCACGTGTAGGATAACAGCTGCTAAGCTGGATAGAATATTAGATTTACAAATACATCTAGGCACCATAAATCCAATAGTCATATTTTGACAAACTTCCAAATATTATTTCCTCTCCTCTGTTCAAGATGCTGTGTACCTCCAAGGGAACTGATAATCCTCACTTTGCCCAACTATCCATTTTTCACAGATGGTGACTGTTGACCAGGGCATTCAACCATTGGAACAACACTGGTAAGGGCAAACGTGTCTACAGTTGAGAGGGGGCAGAGGAGATTTAACAGGACATTGACCCTGGGAATGGAGTGTTTCAGTGACAGAGAGAGATTGGACAGTCTGGGGTTGTTTTCCTTGGAGCAGAGGAGACTGAGAGGGGGACCTGACTGAGATGTATAAAATGAGGAGCGGAATTGATAGGGTAGACAGAAGAAACTTTTCCCCCTTGATGGAGGGGTCAGTGATCAGGAGGGTATAGATTGAAGACAGGAGGTTTGGCGGGGGTGTGAGGATTTGTTATTCACCCAGAGGGTGGGGGAATCTGGAACTCACTGCCTGTGAGGGTGATAGAGGCAGGAACCTCTCAGAGCATTGAAGAAGTGTTTAGATGAGCTCTCACGATGCCAAGGCCATGGGGCCGAGAGCTGGGAAATGGGGGTTAGGATAGTCAGGTGGTTGTTTATGACCAGTGCAGACACAATGGGCCAAAGGACCTTCTTCTGTGCTGTACATCTCTATGACTCTAAACTGGATTTTCTTCATGTCTGTTCTGTTGGCTTCTTCTCACCAAATGAAACAGCACTCACAAAACTTAAATTATCTGGGATTGTATTTGCTTGAATTCATCATACATTCACTTTAATCAACAATCATATTATTAAAAAGAGGCATTGATCCACATGCTGATCCAGCAGCTCAGTGAAATTTGAACGGTTGCCATGTGGAGGTGAAGCATTCTCCTGTATGTTTAGATAGACTGTATGATACGCATTGATGGTAATCAATAACACAAAGTAAGAAATAGATAGCCTGATCAATAAATGCATTCCCTGTGTGGTAGAGATGACCAGCAAGGTCTCAGGTTCAATTCCTGGTCTGTGCTGAGTTAACTATTTGAAATGGAGGCAACACAAGCTTCAGTCCCTCCTGCCAGCTGATTGCTGCTGTATGTGTACAGGCAGTGGATGAGGACAGGATTGTGCTCCACTGAGATGCCTTCCACAACCCAACAGTCTGCCAATGCTCACTCTAAACCTGCACATGTACAATGGCCACTGGGGGCAAAATATATGAGTCCTGCTGTTATCTACGGAACAAGACCTCAGCAGGGAGTCTATGGCCACTGGCCTGCTGAGTGGCTGGTCAAACAAGGCTGGCAATTCTCTATTGTCATCATGGAAATCAGCAACAAGGGAAGGGATAGCTTTCACTGTTTCTGTTGACTGCAGTACTTACATGTGAGGACTCAACTCGTACAGGTTACAGTTGCGGTACTCATTGATCTTCTCCAGGCTGTAGATAGGTAGCATCATATAGGGATTGATTGAAATAACCACACTCCCAATGTAAGTCTGAGAGAAGATATTAAACACCAAGAGTCTTTCAGCATCTTAGTGATAGTATTCAAGATTGTCCTAGTTCAGCTTTTGACCCCTGACCACATTAGTACACGCTTTTCCCAGGTCTGAAAACACTGCTACATCCCCATTCAGTGTCATCCATTGTACGTTAGGTGATGTGCACATACAGTGGTGCTGGCTTATAGATAATGTAGGAATGCCAGGCTGCTGGGGCAACATGTACGTTGTAGATGGATAGTGATGGTAGAGGCTCGAACTTCCTTTCCATCACATGGTTGACCAGGAATTTCTCCTGCTCTCATCATCTGCTATTGACGTGTTGGAAGGATTTACAGACAGATGTCCAAGCTGTTTGGCTGTGAGATGGACACATCTTCCTTGGCCATAGAGTCCTGGAGTGGGACTCAAAGCTGGAGCTTCTCACTCAGAGGCAGGGATGCTACCCACAGGATTTCCTCAATATACAGTGCACAACAAAAATACATGAACAAACTTAAAGACCATTCTCTGCCACTTAACAGATGAGGTATCACGAGGAATTACCTCAGTCTATCGCCCAATCAGTCACTGCCACGTCAGTAGACAATGCTAGAATTTCTGTTGACAGTTAGCTGGACATTCTCCTGCTGTTTAGAACAATACCCAAAGGAATTTTTGGCCACGCCTTATTACAAACTGTTTCCGCTTCCTCCCTCCCCATCAGCTCCAAAATGTGCTCCCCTCTCTGTTTCTGTAAGCACCGATTCCTACCGGGAAACAGTTCCCTAGATTGCCCTCTGATCACTTTCCTATTTGTCATTCCTTATTTGCGTTAGTTAAGACAGACAGATTGGAAATTTCCCGTATTTTTGGCCTTCACTCAGGTGGAGAGTGAATGGGACTTATAGCCTCTCAAACCCACATTATTGTCAGAGGAATCATAGCCAGACCGAATCCCATCTAGTGAAAGTCACTAGATAGCAATCAGGAATTGAAATGATGACTGACGCTAAACCAGAGGTGTTACAGTCCCATCCATGGCCTGGCTGAGATCAGCTAACTCTGCACAGACTGGCAGCAATACCTGTTGTCTTCCTGGGGTTCAGTGCCTCACCTGAACAGCACATTTATTCACTGTACAATATGAGACGCCCAAAAATATATGGTCTCAATTGACTGTTACAAACATCATGAGGCTCTCTTCAATGTACTTACATAAATATCATTGTTATTGTATCTTTTCTTGAGGTTAGAAAGTAAAGATTCATCAGTGAGGGGGTCTAACAGCACCATGTCACCCACCCCAACCATATTGTCCAGATAGGAAGACTTCTTCTCCATGGTTAGTTACTGCAAAGAATGACACCAACATTATATTAATTAAACTATTTAGCAGGGCAAACACAATGAAACAGTTGGTACTGCAGGCAGCTATGACCAGATATGAATACAGACTGTGTCTTGTAGCATTGCACAAACTCTTTTCAAAGTCCAATTTCTCTCTGTTACTAACACTGACAATAAATATTGCTTCAGTTCACCACCTACATTACCTTTCACTTCCTGGATCACTGCTCCAAGAAATGAGAGCCATATTATGTGAGTGAATGGGGCACAGTGTTTTGGAGATGTTGGGGGTCACCCTTCCAGGGTATGGCGTTAGGTAAATGAAACATAAGGGATTTTCTCTCCATTTCCACCTATTGTTGTGGTCTCCCAATGCTATGATCTGTATCCTCTTAGCTGCCACAACCTCTGATTGAACAGGCCAGAGTCGAGATTTCCTCATCATCCAATCAGAAGATACATAACTAAGCTGATGGACTCTGCGCGTCAGGAGTGATGAGATTAAACCCACAAGAGTCCTCTCATACCTTGTATTAAAAAAAATTCTTATCAAGCTAAAAATGATCATGAAAACTAAAACTTGCAATGTTTCTGTTGACCCAACCAATTAAAATAAGGGTCTAGGCCTGAAACGTCAGCTTTCCTGCTCCTCTGATGCTGCTTGGCCTGCTGTGTTCATCCAGCTCTACACCTTGTTATCTCAATTAAAATAAAAGATCCTTTACTGAGTGAAAATGCAGGAAAATCATCTGAAATTTTCTTGATGTTGATAAGTTTAGATCATCGATTAATATTGTACCTGATTAACAACAGCCCAGGCTGTCTGCACACTTTGCCATTTTAAACTTTGGTGGATTGAGTTCCTTTGTGTGATTTCTAATACACATTAGCTTGTCTGTAATTCAGTGCTGTGATATTATAGCTACAAGGTTAGACAAAAATTCCAATCAACAACACTTTTATCTCTGGGCCCCATCCATTAGGAGCTTATTCTGTAAAAACAAAGCAACCCAGTAACTAATTGGTGCATTTACTGGGAGTCGCAAAGAGAGGTAATTAGAATAAAGTGCTGATAAACAAATAGATCTCGAAAGGTGTACGTGGATCTATGCTCTAACACTGTACTTCCCAAACCTTTTCCCACTGTAAAGCTATTTTGAGGCTTGAAAATTGTGGTGACTCCTCAGTGAGAATGGTGAGAGTGCAAGCACGGCTTTTGTAACTTGCACATAGTTTCACGGCAGCCATAAACGGCCTCAGATCTCATGACCCCAAAGACCCCACATGGGGTCCCAACCATCAGTTTGAAAAGCACTGCTTTAATAACTCCCACCTCTGGCTATTGTAAAAAATAACATTACTGATTCAAGTGCAGTCTACTTTCATTTACAGCCAGACTTTCATGCTTTAAGTGTCTGTAAAACGAGGTAACAGAAGTACACTGGCAATGTATTAAGGGACCATGTATACCAATCCCCATGTTAACATCACAAGTCAGTATGGTACCAATGGGCAGTTCACAGAATCATATAATGGTACAGTACAAAAAGAGGCCATTCAGCTCAGTGTGTCCGTGCCAGATCTTTGGAAAAGCTAGCTAAGTAATTCCTCACTCTCATTCTTTTTCTTGATAGCCTTACAAGTGTTCCTTTGCTAGTATTTATCCAATTTCCCTTTTGAAAGTTATTGTTCAGTCTGCTTCTTCTGTGTATCTAGCTTCCCTTTAAGTGCATCCATGCTATTTGTCTCAACCATGCTCGGTAATGGCAGCTTCCATAATCTTACTGCTCTCCGAATAATGGTAACCAAGTTCTCCACATAACTGTAACTCTCTTTTCCCTGGTACCATTCTAGTTAATCTCCTCTGTACCCTCTCCAAGGCCTTGACCATCCTATCTCAAATGCAGTCCCCTTGCTCTAGGATTTATATTAAATATTTTGCCAAAATATGGCTCCAAATCCTCCCTCTTGCCATAGTCTTGGCTCCAGGGGCAAACAAGACCCCTCCCTTTCTTATGTTCCAATACTGCAGTCTCCTTACAGTACTCATTATCAGAACATGACACTGACCTTGCAAGATTTCTCCTAAATTAAGTAGAAGTAAGATAACAATTTGTCAGATATACATTAACATTGCGTCTGCTTGTTGTACTATAATGTTCATTTTTATGATGATTGATCTTTGGAGTATCATGTACTTATCTCAACTAAGGAGTGATATAAATGTTCGTATACTGAGAAAATGCTGACATACTATCAAGCAGACTGAGCAACACAGAGATAGTGAAACCCTGTTAGTTCCATCAATACCAATAGAAGCATCCTAACTCCTTGATGGTTCTGCTGAAGGTTAATGCATGAGAAGGTCTGCAGTTATCCACACAAATACCTGGCACAGCCAGCACTGACATCTTGTGATTCCTGGGAATCAGCATTACAATGCCAATAACAAATAGTACAATGATCTGACTTGAACACAGTCAACGTTACAGAAGAGTAAGTGCTGGAGGTCTTTAAAAAAACATAAAAGTGGATAAATCTCTGGGACCCAATCAAGTGTATCTCAGAACGCTGTGGAAAGTTAGGGACAAAATTGCACGGCCCCCTAGCAGAGATATTTATATAATCTACAGCCACGTGAGGTTCTGGAGGACTGGAGAGTGCCTGATGCTGTGCCTTTATTTAAGAAAGGCTGTAAGGAGAAGCCTGGGAATTATAGACCACTGAGTCTGACATCAGTGGTGGGTATGCTGTTGGAGGGGATTCTGAGAGATAGGATTTACATGAATTTGCAGAGGCAAGGTCTGATTAAGGAGAGTCAGCATGACTTTGTGCATGGGACATCATGCCTCACAAACCTGATTGAGTTTTTCTAGGACATAACTAAAAAGATTGATGAGAGTAGAATGGTAGATGTTGTCTACATGGACTATAGTAAAGCTTTTGACAAGGTTCCACATGGTAGACTAATTAGTAAAGTTAGATCACATGGCATTCAGGGAGAGCTGACTAATTGGATACAAAATTGGCTTGACGTTGGGAGACAGAGCATGGTTCTGGAGGGTTGTTTTCTGGACTGGAGGCCTATGATCAGTGGTGTTCCACAGGGACTGGTGCTGGGTCCACTGTTGTTTGTCATTTATATAAATGATTTGGATTAGAATATAGGAGTCATGGTTAGTAAGTTGCGGATGACACCAAAATTGGTGGCATTGTAGAAAGTAAAGAAGGTTTTCTAAGATTACAAAGGGATTTTGATCAATTGGACCAATAGGTTGAGGAGTGGCAGATGGAGTTTAATTAGGATAAATGCGAGGTATTGCATTTTGGTAAAACAAACAAGGACAGGACTTATACAGTTAATGGTAGCACCCTGGGTAGTGTTGTTAACAGAGAGACCTGGGGGTTCAGGGACACAGTTCTTTGAAAGTTGTATCACAGGTAGACAGGGTGGTTAAGAAGGCATTTAGCACGCTTGCCTTCATTGCTCAGACCATTGAGTATAGGAGTTGGGGCATCATGTTGAGGTTGTACAGGATGTTGGTGAGGCCACTTTTGGAGTACTGTATACAGTTCTGGTCACCCTGCTATAGGAAGGATATTATTAAATTAAACAGGGTTCAGAAAAGATTTACCAGGATGTTGCCAGGACTGGAGGGTTTTAGTTTTAAGGACAGGCTGGGACTTGTTTCACTGAAGCGTAGGAGGTTGAGGGGTGACCTTATAGAGGTTTATAAAATCATGAAGGGCATAGATAAGGTGAATGACTAGGGTCTTTTCCCTAGGGTGGGGGAGTTCAAAGCTAGGGGGCATACTTTTAAGGTGAGAGGAGAAATTTTTAAAAAGAACACGAGGGACAAATTTTTCACACAGTGGTTCGTCTGTGGAATGACCTGCCAGAGGAAGTGATAGATGTAGGTACAATTATAACATTTAAAAGACATTTGGACAGGTACGTGAATAGGAAAGGTTTAGAGCGATATGGGCCAAAAGCAGGCAAATGGGACTAGTTTAGTTTGGGAAATCTGGTTGGCATGGACAAATTGGACCGAAAGGTTTGTTTTGGAGCTGTATGAATCTGTGCCTCTTAACTAGCAAATTGGTACAATTCATGGGAGTCTGGAGGAGGAAGGACTTGTGGTGCCAGGGGAATAATGGGGTGGAGAAGGTAGAATGGGGACTAATTGCTTCGATCTTTCAAAGAGCTGGCACTGGTTTAATGGGCTGAATGGACACTTGCGGTGCTGTATCATTCTGTGAAGTACTGGTCAGTCTTTTTAATCAAGTGGCAGCTGCATTGGGCATTTATCAAAACTGTTCCAAACTTTAAAAAAAATATATATAAAGAGCATCATAGCTCTTTATGGTTTGTAAGGCAAATCTTTACACCGATCAGTTGAAAAAAAACGGTCTTGCCCACCCACTGTATAATGGAATCACACTGTGCTGAAATCAAACAAACGATTCATCAGACAAGGAAGTGAAATTGATCTGGACTCAAAGCATCCTCTTAAAAAGTTAACCAATTTTCGGATTGTCCAGCAAATGAATTTTGGATCCTGCTATTTTAAACTGGGTGTATTCACAATTTATTTCCTTACCTTGAATGCAATGTGTGTAAACCTGTCTGCGTGCAGTGGGAAAGTTGTCTTGCCAAGCGTTATGTGGTTTTAATGTTCTCTCTCTCTCTCTGTTTGATTGTATTTCCCCGGTTGGGTTTCAGGGTCTCGCTTCCATCCTCCTCTCTTTGCTGATGCTCGGGAAATGCTGCTGTACCTTCAACCGGCAGTCAGGGCTCCCTTTCCAAATCTTCAGTGTCAGTACCTCCACCTCTCCTTCCGGAGCTGTATTTAAATTCAGACTAAAAATACACCGTCCAAAGGGCACTGACAGAGATCATTAATCAACCTGTTCAGGTATGTCATGACACACCTTTGGAGCAGGTAGGACTTGAACATAGGCCCCTTGGCTCAGAGGTAGGGACACTATCACTACACCACAAG